AGGGTTGATCGGAAACAGAAATCGCGTCGGGGGCAATTTCGTCATTTTTCGCGACTGTGTCGGAATGAGCTAAAATTTGACTGGTTGTTCGGAAATTAAAAATCACGCCGGGGGCAATTTCGTCATTTTTTGCGACTGTGTCGGTATGGGCAAAAAATTGACAGGTTGATCGGGAATAAAAATCGCGTCGGGGGTAATTTCGTCCTTTTTCAAAACTGTGTCAGTATAGGCTAAAATTTGATAGGTTGATCGGAAACAAAAATCGCGGGGGGGGGGGGGGGGGGGGGGGTATTTTCTATTTTCCTTATTGACTCGTGACTTAAGGCACGTTTAATTTCCTGAATAGGGAAACGAAGTCCTAACCAACCAGGTCTTGATTGGCCAACGCGTTTAAAAATCATCAAAGGTGTAGCAAGGGGATTGGCCTACCTGTATGAGGAGCTGCCAAGCTTAAGCCTACCACATGGCCATCTCAAGTCATCCAATGTTCTCCTAGACAGCACATTTGAACCGGTACTATCTGATTATGCACTAATACCAGTGATCAACAAGGAGCATGCTCAGCGGATCATGGTAGCCTATAAGTCACCTGAATCCACACAAAGTGACCACGTAACAAGGAAGACAGATGTGTGGAGCCTTGGGATTCTGATACTCGAGTTGCTCACAGGACGATTCCCAGCTAACTATCTAAAACAGGGTAGAGAACCAAATGCAGATTTGGCAACCTGGGTTAATTCTGTTGTAAGAGAAGAGTGGACAGGTGAGATATTTGATAAGGACATGAATTTAGGAAGGACCGGGGAAGGTCAAATGCTCAGGCTTCTGAAGATTGGAATGTGCTGCTGTGAATGGAATGTGGACAGAAGGTGGGATTTGAAGGAGGCTATTGAGAAAATCGAAGAACTGAAGGAAAGGGACAGTGATGATGATTATTCTTCCTATGCAAGTGAAGGAGAAATGTATTCCTCAAGAGCACCAACTGATGAACACATCTCATTTTCTAAAGCATGAAATTTGAGAAACTCTGAATAATTTCTACTTTTCTCGATCTCCATGGTCTCTACAAGTAGATTTGCACTAGATTTATGCAATTTTTTTTTTTTACAAGGCTTATTCATTTTATATTTTCGAGAGACAGTGTTTGTTTTAAGCTTATGTTGGATCAAATCCTCTTAACCTATTTACACTGTAATAGTACATGGCGAAGTAGATTTAATAATTTCATCAATAACAAACTAAGAAATTTACCAAAAAAAAAAAAATGGTAGAGCCAAACACAACTGAATTGCAATTCGAAGCATTTTTTTTAATTGATTTATGTAAGCCACATACAATGAATAAATCGATTGGTATGGTATTATAGTACATAAATAATAAAAGGAAAGGTTGTTCACTTTTCGGAAAATTTTGAAGTGCAGGGCCTTTGCAACTGTACAAGCATTCTCATCGGTAGTTCAATCTGAAGGAACTGAAATTACTTTTCAGAGAGCATTAGCAACTTGGGAATGGCAGGAAAGAAAAAATTTCTGTACATACCTATAACTACTTTCAGTCATCTTGCTTTTGACTTATTCTCAGCTCCCCATGCTTGATTGTGGAGATGGTGGATAACTAAAGTCCTGCAGTTGTTCATAAAAATAATATCTAACTGAATGTAATTGACTGTGGGAATTGATTTAGATTTCTCCTGAGTTTCATCCTATACATTCAGCACTTCAGGAAGTGTAGTGCGTAGAATATTAGAGAGAGAGAAGAAAGAGTTTCAAGATAATGTGCATAAACTTACTTTAGACACAGAAACTTGACTATGGCTGGCCAAGGGGGCTGCACTGAATGGTATTAAGTTGGACTCGCTATCTTCTGCAAGCTCTCTCAGTTTGTTCAGTTCTGGCAGGACAACTTTAAAAAGATCTGGTCTGTCTTTCCTTCTTAATTGAGAACACCTGAGTGCCAATTTAGCGAAGCTTAGGGCCTCTTCAAAGGGCCAATCAGGTATAGCTAGATCCAGCATATCACGGAAGGTTCCTTTCTCAATAGCTCTTTCAACGTGATGAGTCAGACCCATTGGTGGCTTTCCCGTAAGAAGCTGTAAGAATATGATTCCCAAGGAGTATATATCAGATTTTACACCAAGCATTCCCGTTTGCTGGTACTCTGGATCTATGTAGCAGAAAGTTCCCGCAGTGGATGTCATCCGATACTGAGTGACACTATCTGACACAGATGGAGGGACAAGCCTGGCCAAGCCAACATCACTAATCTTACTTACATAGTTACGATCAAGCAGGATATTGGCAGGCTTCAGATCCCGATGTACAAGGGGCTCTGGCTTGGTCTGGTGGAGGAAAAGCAGGCCAGTGCCAATTTCAGCTGCAATTCGGAACCTCTGCTGCCAAGATAGAGGTGGGGTGTTTTCGCGTTGGAATAAGCGGTCTTCTAAGCTTCCATGGGACATGTATTCATATACTAAGCAACCATACTCAGGGCAGGCTCCTAGAAGAAGGACCATATGGGGGTGCCGTATGCAACTTAATATTTCAACCTGGTATTACAAATGAAGATTTAACCATACAATCAAATATATCTAATGCTTCACAAAGGTGGACAATTTGTACACAAAGGGAATACAAGAGATGGTGGAAGAGGAATAAATGATGCCTGCAGAGCAACATAACCAAAATAATGAGGATTGAGAGAGTAAAAATCTAATACAGCTTGGTACCTAAATTAGTTTTCAAATGAACGTTGTAGGAAAAGCCCTTCCAGTACTTGCTTTAACAACTAAGTTGGCAATAGAGAATTTTATTCATGCACTAATATTAAATTCAACATGAATAGCTCCAAATACCTTAATCTTTTCTAGTTTGACATTGCAATTTTCAACTGGTTTTTGACAATTCTCCCCATCAGCTAAATAGAAAAACATTTAAACAAATTGCTCACACTCACATAATTTTAGTGTGCTTGCTAATATATGGCTCTTGTTTTTTAGATTTCCAGTTTAAAAATCTTCTCAAATCTTTGTGACAGACGGCTACCTCTCTGACCTATTGGATCATAGGTGTAACTTTGTGTATGTGAATTTATCAACCAAGATTCTGTGCAGTTCATACAGAATGGACGGCATTTTTATAAATACAAAATATGAATAAATTGACAAAAAATGTTGTCTCGCTCTTAAAATGTGACTCTTTCATCTTCATTCAACAAGCCAGTTTCTCATTGGGAAATTTACTAACAAATGTATTTGTTTCTCTTTTGCTAACCTACTACACTCCATGTTTATTATGTCAAAACCTATATTCATTGCATTAACATACCTCCTGCTGAAACTGTGATCTTCCATGAGTAGCGTCAGGGCGAAGGACTTTAACTGCTACAGGGGTATGGTCCAGATGGCACTTGTATACTGGTCCATAACCTCCTTCACCAATCTTTCGAGATTTTGAAAAATATTCTGTTGCAGTTTCAATCTCCTCAATTGAGTATCTCCTGTACCTGACATTTGATTGTCCCATAGAGATTAGTGCCTTACCCTTCTCTTCTGATTCTTTTAGTACTTTCATTTCTGTATTGATTCTCTTTTTCGACTCCAGCTCTGCTATTCTTTGAGATGCTTCAGCATGCTCAAGGGCTGCCCTGGACTTGGCCGTTTCCTTTTCTGCTAGTGCCACTGCAGCTTCTTCAGCTAACATAGCCTCTTCTATCCTCCTTTGCTCTTCTATTTTCCACCGTTGGAGCTCCTTTGCCTACAACATAAAATGTGTTAAAACGCACAAAGTAAAATTAAATTCCTGGGCAAAAGAAGTTATCTTTTCTTATACCTTTTCTTTTGCTGAGAGAGCCTCCTTGCAGGCAGTACTATACATATCCATTGTTTGCTTGAGCTCCAGCTTTAACCTTCTCATTTCTGCTTCCACTTCCTCCTGTAAGTCATGGCATTGAAACAAATTAAGATTCTAATTTTTCTTCATTTCTGTACTGCTAGAAGTGCATGTCTATTAAATTATAGGAACTCAAATGACAAATAATTGTGGTAAATTAGTGAATTCTTCCCTGTCGCCCAATTTGAAGCTGTTTAATTGATACTGGCTTCAATCCATTACAGTTGATGGATAATCAAGCAATAAAAGTATCTTGCTTGCAAACAGATAAATGATGTTAACTTTTGCATAAAAATAACTAAAATTCACTTGAAGGTGGAAATGCGAGCTGGAAAATATATTATGTAGTCTATATTAGCAGATATAATAAGTCTGCAGATAAATCTGTATGTTATATTGTACACAAGCTGATCTTACCATTGCCTGCGCTGCAAATTTATCATTCTCAGGTGTGGCAGATGAGAATTCTGGAGGGGTTACTGTGCCTACGGATTTGCTCCCAAGTTGCCATGAGTCTAACCCTTGGCTATCTATGTCTGAGAAGCCTGAAAGCCGAGGAGGGGTTAGAGAGTTATCTAAGCTGTCAGCAAATGATTGGAACATATCAACGCTTTGCCTTCCAGAACTGACAAAAGATATGTCAGTATCAGGCGCTGAGAGTTCATATGGTTTGCCATTTGGGGCCTTCCTGTGAGTAAACGGTGATCTGTTGCAGAGTAAAAAGTTAGCATTTTGGGATGGATAAAGGTGCACGTCATGCTACTGCAAAAATTAACTATTAGTTATGTTCTTTTAACAGTGGAAAAGAAAATTTCAGAAGGCATTGTTATGGAGAGATGCATCCTCTGTACATAATTTTATGCTTGGAACATAGTTAATATGTGTCATGCTTTGAGCAACCAAACATGACATACTTGATAAAGTTTGCCTCATTTTGCGTGGAATGTGGAGATGGTTCAGATCCTCGCCTTGAAGACCCTGAAATAGAACCTGCATATAATAATTATTCAGAATCAAACTTACAACTAGGGAAAATTGCAAAAAACAGATAGGGTTATATTCTTCGAAATAACTAACTTCTGGAATTATAACTGGAGGGTAACGATGCCTCAGACGCAATAGATTTGCCGCAGGCCTGAAGCATTATCTGGTTACGAAGTGGAGTGAGGATGGATGGCGCTAGTCGGGAAGCAGCTCGTGTGGATGAAATCTTTCCTTTGTGGATGACATACACGGTACAATAATCAGGAACTCCTTTTAATACAGTTCCAGGAATGTCTTTGGCTTTAAATCTGATGAGCACATACTTAAATTAGACTTTTACAATCTGCTCTTGTATTCTAGTTGACGCACGAAAAGATATATATATGTTGGTTTCAGTTAATCAGACAAAACCATCAATCTAAAACCCTTTTGGACTTAAAATTGAATGCCGTATTGTGCAGCTTCAAAGTGCTATGACTATGCTGAATTTTCATCTAGAGACTATTTAGTTAGGTAGCATTTTAGCCCCTTAACTCAAATATATAAGCATATAGTATAAGAACTTACTTTTAATCCTGAAACACAACATGAGAAGTGTGTCTTGTTGGCAACATTCTACTGATATGGACGTACATCTACAGATACGTGGAACAGTTACTCTGATGAGGTTACTTCAAGTTAGAAGATACAAATGTAATGCTCAGACGTTTATTCTGTTTCTGACGTCATAAGTCTTTTTAACTATATCATGCTCACTAAAATAAGTACTCATTACTATACAAGATACGTTTATTCTATTTCTGACGTCATAAGTCTTTTTAACTATATCATGCTCACTAAAATAAGTACTCATTACTACAAAAGATATATTTCTTGTTTGGATTTCTTTTATAAGGCTTTTTGATGCATGACATAACAGAAGAGATGTTTAGAGAAGAAGAAGAAGAAATAGGAGGAGCAAAATCTATAATATTGATTCCTTAATAATAAAATTTGAAACAAAATTGAAAAACCTAAGTCCTCACTTGTAAAATTTTTTTTTGATAAATAATCTAACAAATTATTAATCATGGATAATACACAGAAAGTGTATTATCAATTAATATAAGACAGAAACAACATAAAATTGGGCAACCCGCCCATACGAGTAGCAGCCGCAGCATTAAACCAAGTATACAATGTCAAATAAAACAATTCTTTAATCTACTTTGTTGTCCATGTATGATCATCAAAACAACAGTTGTTTCTCTACCTCCACACACACCAAACGATATATCCTAGAATAAGGTCCCAAACAAGCTTGTTATTCTTATTACGAAATCTTCTCCTCCATGCTTTTAATACATCCTACATATGATAAAGCCTAATAAAGACAGATTCTAGAATGTTCACTAGTTAGTTAGTAGGAAGGATAAAAATGTAATAGGTTATAGTAAGGATTGCCTATAAATAGAAGAGAAAAAGAAAGGGAAAGGCGTGCAAAATATTGAGTAGTTGTTTGAGTCTATTAGGAGAGATCCAGCATCTCGAATGCTTGGAATTGTTCTTTCAATTTCTATTTTCAGTTTCTATCCATTTCAATAAATCTATTTGCAATTCGGTAAATCATTGCCCAACATTTCTCCTAGATCGGTAACGGCAACTAGGAAATTCCATTAGTTGAGGTACAGCAGTAGGGGATCCTATCAAAATGGTATCAGAGCAATCATTCTGGCCCTGGGACAGTACCTCTGAGGAAGAAAAACAATTAGAAGATCGAGTTAATCATTTGGAAACTGAGATCGATGTACTGCAAGAAGAGCTTGGAGAAATGAAATTAGAATTTAAGAGAGCAATGACTTACGCCCCACGTGGTCGCGTTCGATTCGTCCCAGTAGCGATCGCAAAACAACGTGGACAGCACGCTTCAGCAGGACGGAACAGCTTGCGATAGGGGATGCAGGTAGATTGTTTTGGACAGAATGCAGGCTGCCTAAATGGTGCAGTTTTCCAGCACGTTAATGGGATTTTTCTAAGTCCCGACCCATCCCTTTTGGGAGGAAAAATACATGAACCTGCAGCGAGATATTTTGGGATGCAAGTGGGCTACTTGCACAACTTGTCCACTTGTGCCACTTGCAAGATATTATCAAAAATGCAAGCTAAGCACGAGTTGGCGAAAATAATATCAAAGATGCAAACTACGATCGAGTTGGCGCCAACTTGCAAGGAAAATTGTAAGATCATCCGCTTGACGACAACTAAGCATTAGTTGTAACCAACTAAGCACGAGTTGTGACCAACTAAGCATGGGTTGTAAAGTAAATGCAACTTGATTTTAAGGAGGTTTAAATTTTGCCTATAAATAGAGATGAAAGTCTCATTTGTAAATCATGTAGAGTTAAGTGAGTTTATTCATTAGAGAGATTGTAAAGTTTTCCCTTTCATTTATGCAAAGAAAGTTTCCCAACCTTACTTATTTTCCATATATTCCTTGCTCCAAAATTCTCTTTTCAACGTGAGTATAATTTAGTCTCATTGGTTAAATTATTTGTGAGCGTGAAAAGGCTGACTTAACGTTTCCTCGTGAGGTGCCGGAATTGTCAAGCGTTAAAGCCGCACGGTTCTAGTTGTTCGGGTGTAACGAAACTAGGTCCGTGACAGATGTCTAGGATGATGAAGAAGCTCGATCTGATGATAAAAGAAGGGGGTGGACCGGAACGAGAAAGGCATGAGAAGGGGATAATAGAAAAGTCACCGAAACTCACCATCACATCTAAAATTTCCCCAAAATTGGAGGAAGCTGGAGTACATAGCCGCATCAAGCACCGCCAGGAGGACAGGGAGGAAAAGGAGGTCCATTCACTTCGCCGAAGCCCGTCTTTAATTTTGAAGTCATACCAAAAATTGAAGAAAACGAAGTGAGTAAAGAAGATCGGAATCACAGGGAGGAATTAGGGAAGGCAGGAGCGCGAAGTCGTGGACTCAAATTGTCGATTGCTGAGATACTTACAGCTCGATTGCTGGTAAATTCTGAAACGATGATGGAAGACGCTGTGATTAATGGGCTAAAAAAGGAGAAGAGGTTGATCTGGATGAATCGGGAGGAGATGGAGACCACGGGGTGAAACAGGACGAACTTGGGCTTACAAGTAGGGCTGGGGTTCATATAAAAGAGCCGGTGGGACCAAATGGGAGAAGGCTCGAAGGACTTCCTAAATCAAGCCAACTCAGTTTTGGCCCAAATAAAATGAGGAAAAATTCCAACCTCTTAAATCCAGCTTTTAGTCCATTTATACACCCATATCAAGCCAATTTTCATACTTAATTCACCCACGTAATCCACCCAACACACCAAAACAACCCAAAATCAGCAGCAACCATAGTCCGACGACTGACAATCGCAAAGGGTGCTCCTCCATTTAAGAGACTCATGGCCGCTGAGCTTCGTCTGAAGAGGGAAACAAGCTGGTGTTATCGCTGTGATGTAACATACAACCCGGGTCGTAGGTGTCGAAATAAAGAGTCAAGGATTTTGGTGGTACAAGAGGAAGAAGTTGATGTTCCATGGAATGTTCCAGAAGGTGATGAAGAGGACGAAGTAGGTGAATTAGGGGAGATATCACTCAATTATGTGGGAGGACTAACCACAACAAAAACCATGAAAACTAGGGGTTCGATTTTGGGGCAGTTAGTAATAGTCTTGATTGATTATGGAGCTACACCTAACTTCATTTCAGCAAAGTTGGGTGGTCAATTGAGGTTGCAGACCACAGAAACTACTAGCTACGAGCTTTACATGTCCAGAGCAGATTCACCAGCTGCAGCCATTAGATCTACTGTTGCAGCAGAGAAGAATCCTTTCCAGCAGCTCTATAGATCAGCATCAGATCAGCAACAACGTCCGGATCTATTAGAACTTTACCGGCAAACCAGGTTCCTAGCTTCTTCTTTGAGGGGAGTGTATGAACAAGGACTATTGCTGGAGGAGAAGAAGACAACGGAGAAGAAAGGGGAAGAGAATGGGCTGGAATTGATGGCTGAATTTCAGATGAAAGAACCTATAGGCTTGGTTTTGGAATTGGCCCAACAGGGGAAAGGCAGCAGTGAAGTTGTGAAACAAGCCCCACTAAATTTCGACACACATGGAAGTAAACTTAATAGGCTCAACCTACCGGTAAGTTACCGCCTACAATTTTCCTATTTTCAAAAATCGTTGAATAGCCCCTTGCTTTTCAAGGTAAATCCAAATCAACTGCATCTACTGTACTTCGTCAAGCAACGATGGCGAGGGAAATTGCACCCGAATCCCAGGCAACTACCGAGAGTGTTGATATTGCTGTTTTGGCATTGGGGATTGCAAATCAATGGACGAACATACTTAGGGATGTTGGAGAAGATGAAAGAAGAGGAGGGATCTACATGTTGCATGATGAAATCTACGTGGATGACTACAATAATTTCACAAGGGGGGCATGTGTAAACAAACTGAAGAAAATGCTTGCTCAGTGCCTCAGCCTATTGCATATGCAAAATCTCCGTTGGTGATAGGGGCAACTGGATATGGAATTGCCCTGGACACTATATTGGTGATAGTTGCTCAACTGAGTAGGTCCGTCCACTTCGAAAGGTTGAAACACCCATACTCCATAGTGACCATGACTGGAGTTCTTGCAAGGAAACTGCGAGGTTGCATGATGAATTGACCAAGACAGCAACAATTTCCACCTTGAGAACAAGGTGGATTTCGAGGTGGAGAGTAATGATAGAGTCTAATAAAGACAGATTCTAGAATGTTCACTAGTTAGTTAGGAGGGATAAAAATGTAATAGGCTATAGTAAGGATTGCCTATAAATAGAAGAGAAAAAGAAAAGGAAAGGCATGCAAAATATTGAGTAATTTGTTGAGTCTATTAGGCGAGATCCAGCCTCTCAAATGCTTGGAATTGTTCTTTCAATTTCTATTTCTAGTTTCTATCCATTTCAATAAATCTATTTACAATTCAGTAAATCATTGCCCAACATTTCTCCTAGATCAGTAACGGCAACAGGAAATTCAATTAAATATGTCTGAATTGTCAATGGACCTTCAGGTTCGTTAAAAAAGAAAGATGAAATCTTAGGGGATTATAAGAGGACCTAAGATGAGTGTTTTGCTTGATCATCAATATATTTCGTAAGAGCAGAGTGGTATAAAGTGTAATTTTATTTGTTATATATTTGTGTATGGAAACTGCACTTATCTTATTGGGTATTTTTAAATACTCACTCTTACTATAATTTTTACAGGTTTGTGCGATCGATTGGAACTGTGGCGAATTTATGATGTGGGCTGCTAATAGGATTCGAAAACGAAAAGTATAAAATTTTTGGTTTGTCTTTAAATTCGTTAGTTGAATATTTTTATATTTTTTATTTGTTCAAATACTAGTTTGTTTATTTTAAATTGATATTTATGGGTGAAAATAAAGAAATTCTTTGATTTGTGTCGTTCCGCATTTATTAAAGAGAAAATTGAGTTTTTCGTAACACTCCAATTTTTTTAAAATTTTGGGGCGTTACACCACTGTCCTAAATAATTCATCCAACTCCCCTTTCAATGCCTGGACCCGAGCCATTATGTCAGCAGTATTCAATGAACCATCATACGAACCTTCTGCATATGCTTTCTTAGACTTAGGCATAATGCAATTACCTTATTTTCACTCACAGTGACCACCTTTTACTTTCGCATTAGTACCTTTTGATCAACATTCTGCAACGCCTGTAAGTTTGCCGTAACTTCAGCATAGGTCATCCCTTGTCGACTTCCTTCGTTCATTGTTCGACGTTTAGCCTCATCTCCATCAACAAATGAATCAACTGCTGCCTAAAACACCTGCGAATTCGATGCCCATCCTTCTCCATTCGCACTTTTCGACACCATTACAACTCCCTTTCGACGCCTATCCCTATACTATGCTATCGTCAAGTACCGACCATGACTGTTCACACATCGTTGTACCAAAAAAGCTATTAACGAATCATTGAACTTAGAGACGAAATCCTCAAGCCTACTAGTCACCCTCAACTTGTCCACCATATTCACCATCCAAAGTGTGCCGAACATTCCCATAGAGATTGCGTTCAACATCTTCAAGCCCCACTCTATCATCCTATCAGTATTGAAATTGTTGACAGAAATTACAAACTCCTTCACTTCCACTCGAAAACGATGATTGAATACCATACCGTATGCATCCGCTAACTTTCTCCCCTAATTGTGTGTAAACGGCACATCTGATGGTAGGATAGGCATTGTGGGTGATCTGGAAATAATCTGACGAGTTTCCTGATTGTCCAGCGTCGGCATGTGGCTAGCACACACGGGCAGACATGCCACTCCGACGATGCGTGCTCCGCACTGCAACACCTCCCCGGTCAAAATCACCTGCACAATACGTTGGTTAGGCGCATATGTCAGAGTGGTGGCCAAATTTTGTAGAATCTGGGTTTGGATCCCAAATCGATCCACATCTCTCTGCCTATATTTCTTTTTCTTCCACCAATTTTTACATCACCCAGTGTCGCTGCTCCATCCCAGATGGTCTCATCTCTAGTTATAACATTGATTCAAGCGGCAATGCTAGCATTTCCACCTAGGGCAGCCGCCTGAGTGTGCGGTTGTCTATGTGGAGTGAGGCCAGTTGTTTGGGGTTTGCCGGACAACGCGATATTGTCGTCACTGGCATCAACAGGGTCAGTGATGATTGGGTGGTGTGGCGGTTTGCTGGTTGCGGGGTTGGATGTTGGACTTAGAAATTAGAGAGGGGAATACCATCGAAGAGAGAATTCCAAGACTATCCTCTCTTGTATAATACAGTTTAATCTACAGAAATTTCTAACAGATAACAATGAAGAATTAAAAAATTTCTTAACTAAATGGGATGCCAATTTGGCTGATTATTTTTTAGGAGAATTGAAGAAGATAATTTGACTAGTCATCTGCCCGAAAATATTAATTTCGAGTGGTTCTTCTTGGGAAAACTAGAAAAACAAAAACTAGAAATATATCTGAAAGACAAGTAAAATCTTATTGATGAAAATTGGTTCATGGTTAGGTGTTTTCTCCCCCAGCTTCTTTTTGTACTCGTCAATATCAAATATGTTATCTCGTGAACGCTTGGTCCTCAATTATGCAAGTCTATCAATTAACTATCAGTATCCACATATGCAACGCTAAAAAATATGAGAACCTTTTAGTTTTCTAGTCGAACTTTTCAAGGAAACATTTCTTCCAAATACTGACGAGGTATTGAAAGAAATGTTGAGATAATACTTTACTGTTGAAGCGTGGAACTTTCAAATAGGAACGCATACCTGAAGATGTTGCCTTTTGCCGCTGCACCAAGAACCAGTACATCTATTGCTGACTGTTTTACAAATTCACTTAATGCTCTAGCTACATCTGCGTGGACAAGTAAAATCTTATTGATGAAAATTGGTTCATGGTTAGGTGTTTTCTCCCCCAGCTTCTTTTTGTACTCGTCAATATCAAATATGTTATCTCGTGAACGCTTGGTCCTCAATTTTGCAAGTCTATCAATTAACTATCAGTATCCACATATGCAACGCTAAAAAATACGAGAACCTTTTAGTTTTCTAGTCGAACTTTTCAAGGAAACATTTCTTCCAAATACTGACGAGGTATTGAAAGAAATGTTGAGATAATACTTTACTGTTGAAGCGTGGAACTTTCAAATAGGAACGCATACCTGAAGATGCTGCCTTTTGCCGCTGCACCAAGAACCAGTACATCTATTGCTGACTGTTTTACAAATTCACTTAATGCTCTAGCTACATCTGCGTCATCAAGCACGACATCGCAGCATTGTATCTGACAATTGAATATAAGAGAGTTAGAATATGTGCGACGAGGTGACTAACTATTAAATGCTTTCATGCTACAGTTTTTCCGTAAATAATGAGAAGATTACAGGAAGTTCCCGTAGTAGTCTGGAAGGAAACAACTGCATTTCTCTAATAAATATAATAAGAGCAAACATGTTTGGATTCTGAAAACTCACATCCTTGCGTGCACAAAAAACACGGAAAGGAAGGAACAGTTCCTTTAGTTGTGCATCAGAATCTGCATTAGTTGATCCATTTTGACCACTATCAGAAATCATCATGTAGTTAGGCCCTGTGCAATAAAAGATATGGAATCAACTGTAAGGATCGCGAGCACTGTGCAATATTCGAGAAAATGATAACACAAGAAATTAATTATTTAGGACCAAGACATGGGAAATTCGCATTTTCAATCGCTAAAGTATTAGTGTGGTTAAAGGAAACATGTTCTGACTGGTCATATTAACGAAAGTATATCACAATTACTATGAGACAGAATCTGCAACAACAAATTAGCAATATTATTGAAGTATTTCACACTAGAGTAACTATTAAAAATCAAGCAGCTTTTTCGATGATAACAGTACAGAACATGAAGAAGGATAAAATGCATATAACTATAGGAAAGATATGGAAATTATTTCACACCTATGTGTGTCGTTTTTCATTTCGATGTACCAGTTTGATGGAATCTTTTGAGGAAGGAATCTAGTTGATCTTTCACATAACCGATTCAAGTTGTTTTGCAAGAAATATAATATAGACAGAGAAAACCACGACTTGCTGTGCCGATTTGCTAGCGAAAAACCAACACATTTTGTAGTACTACTAATTCATTTATGTGCAATAGTTTTCAAGTCGAAGAGATATAATCTTGCAGAAATTCTGAAAATAGGTCCTTTGGGTATCTTCTGCGCTCCAATACTTCTTATACCTACATCTGTTACATCCTAGAATGACATGGTGACATAGTGAAGGGGCATATGTCCAATGTTGCAAGTCTAGTCATCACATGGAGCAGCTTCCCTACAACAATAAGCACATTTCATGGCCTAGTAGAGCACAACCAACCCTCATAAGCCTTGAAGCCTGGAACCAGAGAATCACCTCTTGCTATTCTCCTACTTCCGAATACGCAAAAGCAACTCCCATTAAAAAGTATATTTGCGAGACTGAAAAAACCAAGGAAAGTATATGAACACAAAGCATCGTTACAATTTTCGGAATGTTCAGATTTAAGTCTCGGCCAAAGCTGACACAGGACTACCTAGTACCTATGACTGGCCAGCCCATTTTGAGTGTCAAACAACTTGAATAACAGGAAAGAACAACTCAGACCTGAGAAGAAGTGCCTGTTATACCAAACTATAACTCAGGCCACATGGCTGGACTAAGGCACTTAGGTCTGACCTAGCATTGGAAAAAGTCAACCTGTGGGCAAAAAATGGGCCAAAAGACTTGCTCAGGTCCGCACAGAACTGAGCAGCACTTGCTGCCGAAATAAGACAACTACCCATCAATAGAACAGTAGCTCGGCACACAAAATGTGACTTGAGGAAAAAGTTCCCACAAGTAGACCAAACTATAACTCAGGCCACATGGCTGGACTAAGGCACTTAGGTCTGACCTAGCATTGGAAAAAGTCAACCTGTGGGCAAAAAATGGGCCAAAAGACTTGCTCAGGTCCGCACAGAACTGAGCAGCACTAGCTGCCGAAATAAGACAACTACCCATCAATAGAACAGTAGCTCGGCACACAAAATGTGACTTGAGGAAAAAGTTCCCACAAGTATACCTTCGGCAGCACAAGTTCCTAAGCGGCTACAGACATAATCACCAGGAGACATGACTAGCCAACCAATAAAATAGCGACTTTGTCTCTGAAACACAAGGCTTCCCTCTCCGATGGATTCCGTCCATTAAAACAGAGTCATTCTTCCCAAAAAGGCATTCTAATGTTTTCACTCCCCAAAAGGAATGAAAAGAAAAAATACTCTTCTAATATATCCTGAATCAAAACCATTATCCTCTTCGTCAACTACCTTTTTACTTCTTTCAAACAGATATCTAACATGACCAGAAGAGTAGAATCAGCCACCACGACCCCTCCAGTGGATGCTATGCTAATTGGCATCTATTTTACAGAATATTCAATAAGGAGAAGGTGGCGAAAAACCACCAACCAACCAGGCGAATCACTTTTGCCCACCTGAAATTGACGTGGCTCTATCGACAAAATTCTGATATCAACACACTTCATAATCTTGTGTTACCTTCAATAGGTCTTAATTCTTGAGCAATGTTTCTCTCTCTAACCTTGAAGAAGAATTCTGCTCTGTTCCTTAAAATCTTCTCTTTAGAGTCCCCTTTTTCTTTAGAGCCGATAAGATAACTTATGCTCTCCTGCCAACTTCTATTCTTTGTTCTAGTTATTGGTT